TGCTTATTTTCGGGTATATATGAATTGTAGGGGGTGCTTACTTTCGGGGGGTGCTTATTTTCGGAGGAATACGGTATAACTTTAAATTCAAGATGGTCCAACTTTTATCATTTTTTATTATCATATTTTATACTTATCCATACGTATTACGCATAATTTTGCTACCGATTTTATTTGATTCTATTTAATCGACACCTTACCATAGTACATATTATAAATTATTTAAAGAGCATAAATTAATTTAAAACCCCAACATGAGTTAAAAGCAATATATTTCCTATATTTCATTCGATCTCAATTCCCAATTACCTGAATTAATCTTGTTTTAAAGCCGCGTAATTTTATCGTCTGGTATGAAGCAATATTTGTTGCCTCTACAAAAAAAAAAACAAGATAAAGACAAATGATTCTGATTTAACAAATAATAAAAATATGACGAATATTCTACCAATGCTACGATTCTATTACGTTCTTCTAGAGGAAACAAATCAATTTGCTGTTGAGTGAGATTAAGAATTTGAAGAATAAGCGCCTAATGTCATAATGAAATATTAATAAGAAATTACGATTGGTCTGGCAAATATATATTATATTATCACATTTGTTACCGCATCCTGCTCTTTCATTTGAGTATCATCTATATTAAATAAAACCAATGTTAGTAATGTTAAATATGTACTGTAGCAATATTTATGATCAATATATTTTATAATAAAGCTACTTGTGTAAAGATTAGTATGATATATCCCGGCAGATACCCCACTGTAATTGGGTGCAGCAGTCGCAGAAATGCAAAAATTTCCTATGTTTGGCATCATCATGCTAGGATAATACTGCGGAATAGCAATAGGTTGTTGCATAGGAACGAATAGCTGCGACGGTTGTTGAATAATTTGTGAGGTCAATGAGGGCAATAATCGTTGCGTTTGTTGCTGCTGCATCGTTCCGTAAATTACATTTTGATGTTGCCGTGTGGCTATAATACTATTTGGGTCAATAATAGGACCATAAGGGTTTACATTCGCCGGCACCAAAGGTATTACTGTAGGCTCGGATTTTGTGACTTGTAAATGATTAAAAGGTACCCGCTTAATAGAATAAAATAAAATAAATCTCGCATACATTGATAAAAATGAGTAAGGCAATAATTAATAATGACCTGTAAAACATCTTGATCAATTAGATCTTGCTCTATTAATGTTTGAAATAACCCGTATGATAACTGAGGGTTGTTCATCAGCAATCCTTTAGCTTGGGTTTCATCTGTTTCAAAAAACATCTTTTAAGAGAATTTTATAGATGATACAATATTTTAGGAACCCTTATGAATAAATAAAATATTTATTATATTTGATTACCTTTAAAGTAGTCAAAACATCAAGGAGTTGAGATTTATTCGTCATGGTTTTCGATAACTTCTGTGAATCATGTTGTTCGGAATAAATATTGTAGGGGCTGAAAATCAGGTGATCTGCAACGTAGATCACAACAACTTGAAGCGTGACAATGATCTACGGCACGTAAGTTACGTAATCAATTTTGTCCAATCAGAGATAATAAAGTTATCATCCAATCAGACGTTAAAACCAGTTATAGCTCTAAAGCACGTGGGTACACATCCCCTTTTTTGGGGGTTCGTATCATTGCAGAATTACTACTGTACTAACAGTACAGTAATCGCATTTTTATTAAAAGACAAATACAATAATAGTCTATGCTATGTCATTATATATATTTACACTTTAATAAATTAACATCGGGTTAAATTATGGTATATAATAAATATGGTTCATTATTTTGATAAATTTAAATGTTATTAAAAATACTAAAAAAGTAATTAATAGTTATTCCTTCGTATACAGATTTTCTTTCACCTTGTAAAATTTTTAAGTATATAAGCTTTTTACACAAAGATGTAAATAATTTATTTTTGTGGGTAAAATTTTTGTGAGTAAAATTTTTGCGAGTAAAATTTGTGAGTAAAATTTTTGGGAGTAAATTTTTGCGAGAATAATAAGCATTTCTCAGGATAGTATAAGATGCGGTTACGGATACGGATATAATATGATACAAAAGTTGGCATAATGATTATGACGTAAAACTCATGACCGTTTATGAAACATGTATCAATGAACCTAGAAATATGAAATTGTTAAAATATTATAAACAAAAAATAAAGTCAAAAAAGCATACAATGAAAAAAAATAGTTACTTGTTGAAGAAGAAATTTTACGAATAGTTTGGCAATCAGAAGCAGTCACAAATGGCTTCAATGACTTACTGGTAAACACTGAAGCAGAAATTGTAGGTGGAGGCGGCAATAATATAGGTGCATCCGCTTGTATTTTAAATTGTTTTTTTGCCAAGATATCAGAATCCTTCAATTGTTTAACTAAACCTTTAGATTCAGGAGATAACTTGTTACATATAGGTTTATCAGAAGATAAAACCCAATTTTCAATGGTCTCTCGGAGGACACGCGCAGTTGGTCGTTTTTCATGGTTAGCATCCCAACAAATTGCCATCAGATCAACATAAAATTGTGGTATGCTTCTATCAATATCTGGACGAACACCATTGCATATGTCAGATACTAGATCTTTATCGTGCTTATATTCAGAAAAAGGAGTTTGTCCTACGGCAAGTTCCCACATAATTAAACCAAAACTATAAATGTCAGATGATTTGGTATAATAACCTTTACTAAAAACTTCAGGAGCTACATACGGCATTACACCATATAATGGTGTAGAAATATCAGGAATATAAGCTAATGATAAATCTAAAACAGCTTCACGTTCGGGGTTTCTTCTTTTACCCAATAGATTTAAGAAAGGCTTTTTTTCTTCTTCCAAAGTCTTTATTAATATATTACCAGTATGTAAATCACCATGGACAAAGTCACGAGAGTGAAGAAAATCCAGAGCTCTCGCGATATCCCGAAGTATGTAAATTTTGTCAGTCCAAAGTAAATGCTGTAGACTTATATATCTACGTAAGTCACCTTCATCGGCATATTTCATTACTAACATATAACCTTCTGTTGGATGTTGCGTCATGCCATAACAGCGGATCATGGGGGATCTTTGTGAAGCTGCATCTAAATACATAGTAATCTAAAGAAAAAAAAATTTATCAAGAATTGAAAGTTATAATAAATGTAACAAATAAATAAATAGCCTTTTTTTTTTTTTTTTAAGAAAAAGACAAACCTGTTCTTTTAAGAATTCCGGATCAGAAGTACAACCATTGTGTAGCCTTTTTAGAACAACATCGGTTAAGTAGCTGTTTTCTAATTTATCCCATAAAGCACGATACACGGCTGAAAATCCACCGTTAGCCATATATTTCACTTGAGACAAATTCTCAAAAGGAATCCATGAGAGGTAACATTCTTTGTTTAATGGTTTAGTCTGAGAGTTACGAATAAAATCATCGACATATTCGTTACCACTTGTCCATTCGCTAAAACTTTTTTGTAATTTTTGACCTTCGCAAGTTCTACACCAAGCTTTGTCGGAGAGTGACGTACCACAAGTTTTACATACACCGTAAAGTTTTTTATGTTTTAATTCTTCTTCAGTTATATTAAATTGGCTTGAATGATTTGTTAATACGTCCTGTTCAGTTTTCACTGACTTATCCTAAAAAAAAAGAAAAAAAAAAGAAAGAAAAAAAGAAAAGATAAATAAACCAGTGATTAAAAAAAAATGGTAGTAAAGAATTAAAAAAAAACTTGATATACCTTAGGTCGTTTAAAGTATCGACAGCAAACAATAGAATTAAGTTTACTTGAATTTGCCATTATTATTTTAAGGCAGAAATTTTCCTTTATCAAAAAGGTAATGTGCCCAAGAATCTAAAAACGATAACAGTTAAAACGAAAATGAGAAATCCTTGGCACCTGCAGGAAATTTATCACTCTTTTATGAGAAACAAAAAGGAAGTAGGAAAAAAGTATGAAAGGATCATGATCATGATCGTATTTTTTAAGTCGTGTCACGTAGCAGATCGTAGCTAAAAAAAAGTTTTTTTTTTTATAAATATAGATCGATTAAGGGTTTCACATCGATATTTTCTGAGCTAATAATATTCGCTCGAAGATTTCCTTTTCGTAATGTGTCGTACGGTTTTTTTATCTTCTATATACGTATATAAATGTATATATCATGGTATATTCACATATATAACCTTCATAAATTAAAAATTGGTCTATAATAAGTATCATAAAAAGGTATTATTTGATTGTACGCCTTATGTATATATGCTACGATAATCCACATCTATTGTAAAATAGAAAATCTATTGTTATGCGTTATTATTTTACTACTTTAGGGTATTATTAATGAAAATTAGGATATATATTATATAATTACATTAACTACGTACAAAGTACGGATGTACATGTACTGTACAGTATCATGTGATTTTAATAATTATCAAAGTTTAATTTATTCAGGAAGAGTTCGTCTTCAAAACTTCTTGGCACTAAATTTATAGACTAGTTCATATGTAAGGTTCATTAAAAGTTTGTTCTTTGTCTTTTGACAAGCTCTCAAAATACATCACAAATATTTCATCATCATTAATGAAAAAATATTTCTCGTGTATATATGCACATTATTAACCATTATTAATTTTGATATCGACAAGCGCATTCTAATTATATAAAGAATTCAATGCGTGTCTTCATGAAAATCAAAAATATTTTTCACATATTCAGTATGATTATCAATCTCTACACAATGAAAACTTTAAATCTATTTGAATAAAACAAAAGTTTTACCGTATATATCAGAGTAAATGCTTGAAACTATTTATAACTCCCCAATTCCGACATAAGCATTTACCATCATAGGGTAGTCAGTGACTCTTTGCGTTAGGTGAATTTTTTTTTTTTACTTGTGATACAATATACTGTAAGCATACATTTCTAACAAAGAAACCAATCTCAATATTATCTTTTTTATATTGATAAATTCTATATGAAAAGAATGAATTTACAGAAGCATCCTTAATGGTAAAGCTATTCTCCTAATCAAAAAAACTGAGTTTGTTACTTGTTTGTGAACATATGCATCTGGTAGTATCACCCGACGAATTACATAATCTTGATTCCACAAAATTTCTCCTATTCAATTTAACGTTAATTATTTAGCATTCATTCTTCTACGTATAGAAAACTATTATTAGCATACAGTATATGTACTCGAATAAACGAGAAGCATGGAAAAAACTGTTTCCTTATAGAGAACAATAAAAAATATTTTATGATTTTCCCTTGAGCATATGTTTAACCATCGGTTTTTATTAATAACGATAACTGTATTTAAAAACAAATCGAAAAATTTTAATTTTAAAAAATTATTGGTTATAAAAATTTTTATTATGTAATTCTGTAATTAGATTGCATACTCCATGATTCAGTATTTAGAGTTTTAACAATACTAATTAATACGTATAACATCTTGCTTTTTATTGTCAGTTTTTATCATGTGCTCATATACTTTAAGATTAATTTCTCTTCACATCGTCATTTTTTTGCAACATCGTTACTGTAATAGGTTGATACTCGGTATCAAATACTGCTGCTAATACCATTTCTCTCTCGTTCTAAATACTACAGTATCTGCTATATATACACGCATATATATAGTACGTATCAGTGTATATAGAGATGTATGTATTAAGACTAAAGTGATGCAGCCCATGTGACTGTAATTACTTTGCTACAAATGGACAATTTCATTTTCGGCCTTTCGTTAAAGTTTTGTGCATTATGATAACTTTCCATACCTGATACATCATCCGTATCATTCGTACGTATGTACGACCTTAATTATTTTAAATCTATTTCTATTGTTTTTTTATTTTAAAATAGATTTTATTGGAAATGCTGAAACGCTCGTAAAATCACCAAATATATATACAAAATAGTCCAATTTAATCTTCTCTATTTTAGACACTGCTAATTTCTGAACTCTATTTATTTATTGTTTAACAAATCAGTTATAGTTTAAATAGAGTATGTTACGTCTTTTAATTTATTCTAAGTGATCGACAATTTTGGTCTACTGCTGTACTGTGCAGCAATAACTGATCCGATTAGCATTTTCTAGTGTTCCGCACGGATCGGATCGGATCGATAGTTTCAAGGATCCGGACTCGATCCGAAAATTCGGATCGGGTCCAAGTATGGATTCGGATCCGTATTTGAATTCTTCAGATTTTACGCATCTCCAAATTCGGCGAATCTTCGGATCTTCGGATCTTACGGAACACTAGAAAGGATTCGAGCGAATTAAAAATTTTAGCATTATCGTTATCCAAATTTTAGCATCATTTCTGATATTTACTTATTGTATAATAGATCTATTAGCAGATTTTAGCAAGTTTGCTAAGGTTTGCTTTTTAATACGAAAATTTTATAAATTTTTGATTTAGGCAAAAATTATATCCATGTTTCATACCATCGGGAATATTTTTTGTATTCAGATCTGAGAAATTTTTAAAAGTGCGGATTACGATAGAATTTTTAAAATACAGATATATGTAAGATTTTACAAATTTTTATTCAATGATCACTGTCAATTTGAAGTTTTGCTATCGATATATAAATTATTAAAGATCTGTAATTTATTTTTACATTAGCCTTCAAAAATTTATAACTGCATTGATGTAAATGTGATCCAGATGTTTTAGAAAATAATTTATTTAGCATATTACAATATTAGGCCATACAAAAAGAATTTCTTGGTTTACATAACCCGGCCGGGTCCAAAGATTGAAAACTATAACTTTTTTTTTAATTGGCCAATAGAAATGAGATCATCAATTCATATCGGGCCAAATTAAAACTCCATTAATTAATTTTTTAATAAAATGGATCACCTCGCACGAGATATAACATAAGTATTATATAATATTATTGTTATGACATCTCATTACGACATTGCGGCGTATAATATTTACGGTGATTAGATACTATGCCGTAATTAATTCTACATGATAAATGCCGTAATGCTGTAATGCGTAATTAATTCTACATGGTAAATGGTAATGCCGTAATTAATTCTACATGGTAAATGCCGTAATTCAGTAATTCTACCGTCAACTATACTTCATTCTTATTAATTTACCAGTGAGTATGATTCACCATTACCTAATACTCTTCAAGTAATTAATCATGTTTACATAAATCTTATGCATAGATGCTTATTTACCACTCCTAATACCCTTCATTCGCATTATAGCTGTTTTCATAAAGGTGTTATCAAATATATTGTGAGAAATCGCACGATTTCCCGATTTCACTGATTCAATTTATTACAGCTGTTTTCAAAAAGGTGTGAACGGTAGCAGATCACCATGTCATAGGTAATTCACGATATTTTCCGGATTTCCGGAGTTTTCAAGAACCCGCTCTAATCGGGAAGTTTAATTTTACTACTCTAAATTTCAAATTCACATAGCGATAGGTATCGGTATATGGAAATCGTTGTTCACCCATTTTTGAAACCGGTAGAATTAAATGTTCACAAATTTAGCCGGGAAGTGTGAAAATGATTTATTAATCAGTGGAATTAAAAACAGCAAATCATGTTCACTAATTATGTTCATAAACATATATATACCGGTATATATACAGTATATACTTGCAAATACATGGACAGAAATAAGGCAAATTGATATTTTGAAAAAAATCAATACCTTAACTTTCACAGCTCATATCTCGATGGATTTTGAGGCTGTCTTAATGATTTATTATTCAAAATAATTATATATAGTATGCTCACCTATACTAAAGACTTTCATCAAAGCCTGCCAAATGCATTTTGTTCTTTTGAAATTTATGGTTGACCACGATCGTGAAAAAATTGAAATACTGCGCTCTAACAAAAAAGAATTCCTACAAAATTTTTAAGATAGAAAACTTTAACTATTGCCTTCTTCTAACCTATCCTAGTTCTTTTTTGATCTAATTAAAGAGTGGCGCTGCATCGCTTTGCGATATGTGATCTTTATGTGAAAAATTCAAATGACGGTCTTAACTTTAAATATTAAAATAATAGGCAAACCGCTAAGTACAAAAAATGAGTTTAAAATTTTAATGAGACGACATGATACGTCTTTATTATTGCGCTTTGCAAGGCCTCTGCAGATCACAATGTCGTGTGGGAATCAGAGATTCCATCGATTTTAAGAATTTTATCGATTTCAAAGAAATATAAACGTAACCATTCGAAAATATAAAACGACAATCTAAAATCTCAGAGATTTCTCCGAACAACATCACTGGCTACATCTTTTGCAAACCGCAATAATAATACATAATCATTTACTAATTAAGAAATTTAGAACGATTATAATGATTAGACAAAAATGAGAATCGATTCTAATTCCCTGGCAATGGACTTATACATACATCTGCCGGATTTCATCATTATTAATCAATTCACAAAGGTTGTAGTCATGTTTATTATAAAATTAACTTGTGTAATATCTTTAACATCTGAGTTTTTCGATCATTATGTTTTTCTTCCACATTAGCACTGTTCATTGTAAATAAAAATAGAAGCACTGTATACAGCTTCTAAATTGCTTCAAATAAAAGAGTCTCGATTTTTACTTTTAGGTGAAAAAATTTATAGAATGCGGGAGATAATCACTAATAAGCGGCAAATAATCAATTTAGGCGTATGCCATTAATCACGTTGGGTTCAAATGTCAGTGACAACGATAAGAAATACTGTAATATATATTATACGTAGCTTCCTTTTTTTTGATAGTGAAATTTTTACAAGT